GAGATCGGTAGATGCCACCAAGTAAATGCTTGGTGTGGCCTACGGTGAAATGACACCATATGGAGTCTGGGAGTTCAATAAGTGGTGGGTCCGTTGCGCGCACACATTTAAGTTGCCTACCAAAGTATATAGCAACTCCCCCTCCTTCCTTATTATCCCTGTCTCTCCTCACCAGAACCATATCATCTATACTGATTTCGTTATCGGCGATAGTGGGGGTTAACCACGTTTCAGTGAGAATGATCATTTTCAGTTGTAGGTGTGCTTGGAGATTTTGGAGTTCGCCTACTTTTCCTCTCAGCCCCCTCACATTGCTGTATAGGCAGCTGACAGTGAGTTTCACAACCTCAGCATGTTGTGGGGTAGTTGACGTGAAGCTGTCTGCTGGTAGGGGACTTAATGTTGGGACCAGTTGGCCGATTCCGATGGAACCGGCCCGTTGTGGTTTTTTCCATGGATTTAGGCAGGACACTTGGGTGACACAGACTGTTATTCTCAGAACTGCGTCGCTCTAGTGTCACTGAAGCCTGGGGAGGTATTAGAGCCTCCGTTTGCTGCCTCCTTATGGTTCGAGGTCTGCTTTCGCAGCATCGGATGTGTCCTCCCATTTTTCCCTTGGTCTCATACCACCGTTGAAGTGCTATGGCCAACTGCTCCGAGGAGTTGAATGTGACACTTAGCAGCTTTGGAGAGCTAATCAGTGTGAGATGAGCGGGGCGAGGTAGTCGGGAAATGGAGATGGCTCCAAAAGCGCCAAGGGCTATCTGAGATGACAGCCATCTCCATTGCTGTACGTCATGCATGTGTTTTTCACAGGCAGTGCCCGTTTCCAGCTCCGGAACACCGTGTACCACCATAGAGGTAGAAGGCATCAGTTCCGGTGACTCCCTCACCATTTGTCTGATAGCCCATGGCCTGTCTTGTCTCACCCTTATGTTCGAACTTCTGTCGATGGCTAGTACCTGAACCATCAATAGTACTTTTTCGGCCTCTTCGGCAGAGTCCAGTGTAACCCTTAATGGGGATGGCTTACTCTGAAGCGTGTGGACACCCCTGTACAATTTCGCTGAACTACTTTTCAGACCTAATTTACTGAACAGGTTGGACCACTGTTCCTGATCAAACAGGGCCCGCTGTTCAAGCAAGCTATCCTTACTCACAGGTACGTTAAAGAGGATAAGAGAATTAGACCTATTAACCTCACACTTAGGTTTGGCCTTTGGCTTCTTGTATTCCTTTGCAGCGTCAGCAAATTTAGGCCTCATCAGGTTCTGGCCAGCCTTTGCTGTTTTGCCAAGCTTGCTTGTGTATGCAAGTGGTGCTTTTCTAATTCTATCTTCCCTTGATGTTGTGGGTCCAACCTTGTGAGTCTTCACCTTGTGAAAATTGGCATTTCCAGTCAGTAGGACTGGAGTGTCCTTCTTACTGTCTGTGCCAAGTTTTGGCAGTGTGATGTTAGCAGGCGGGGAGCTGCATAAGACTGTGTTGGGACACAAGAGTGGCGTGTTGTTTCTGCTAACCGCAGACACGCTCTTTGGGACTTTGCCAGGGCGACAAAGTGGACAGATGTACCAAAACCACGGGCAAGGGTTATTTCCCATAAACTCGGGGTATGATTTCGGCACCCTATTCTCACAGTGGCAGTGTACCCGTCGTTTGCAAAAATTGCATTCAAACGCTGAGTCAGTTTTAGAAACTAGGATACTGCACGCCTGACATTCGCCTCCCTTCCTCGATGACGCCTCTGAGGTCTTATGACGTCTTTAGCGTTTCCTTTTAGATTTGCTGTTTCACACACTGGCTTTCAGTTATAAATAAATAAATAAATAAATTTATTCTCATAGTACAGTACATGAGGGACGCCAGTTTACAGGCATCATCAAATTGTTACAGAAATAGAACCATATAGTTCAATCACTATTTACAGGCAGTAGCAAGATATGCTTTACATGTTCACTGGAGATTATACATACACTTGATAAGTGTTAATCCCAGTAGTATAAAACAGCCTTTTCACTTATATACAGTCATTTCTGTGCAAAGTTGGAAAAATCTGCTGGATTGTCAGTGAGTGCAACACAACAGGAAATACAGGAGTATTGTCTTCGCATTAACAAAAAAAACCAGGTCTTTGGTGGATGGATTATAAGTGCCTGGGAAAAAAATAAAGCTTGAAGTAAATATTCGTACATAACTTTGTTGTGTGTAGAGTCCTCGAATTATAGTTCATTGATGTGTTATTTTGAAATCAGTGATGTGTTTATCTCATTTGATCTGAAATGTCATTGTTGGGAGTAAGTACATAAGCTTCGGACGCATTAATTAATGGATTTCTACTGCTTACGGGTATTTTCTTAGCGTGAGGAAGGTTTATGAATTTCAGCTATTCCGACAAGAGTTGAGAATATTAACTGCTCAGCAACATTATGAATATAAGTTCATCACATTATCTAAGGAAAGGTGGGTTGCAGTTGGTGAGGGATATATGGTGCCCAACGAGCGTTCATCTGTCCTTGTGATGTTGTGGTGAGTTATACCTTTTTCATGTTGTCGGTTTATGTCCATTTTATTCCACTTATTGTGTTGGGTAGTAGTTTTACAAACGAGATTTCTTGTCTGTTTGAGGATACGTATGTTAACCGTTAATGTTTTATCTAGAATTATAAATATAGGCAAAAAACAACAGGTGTAGTATTTAAGCTTATACATTAAATGGTGCAGGTGTAGTATCTTGTCCACCTGGTATTGTCTGCGCCGTTTCAGTACTAGACTGTGGCAATGCAGGCGTAGTATCAGAACAGAGGAGACCTACACGAATCCTTACGATCGGTATGCGGGAAGGCGCTGATGTCCCTGGGTTTTTGCCTTCTGTGGCTGAAGCCCTTGTGACTACAGAGTATGGTGTTTTAGTGCCTTTTCCAAAGCTACTTTCGACAACCATATTAACAATCACTTAAACTTATGCTATATAAGAATAAGAGTGTAATAGTATCTACCCACAAGAACAAAAATAAGACTGAAAAAGTACAAGACGTGGAAAAGAAAAGGTTTTCGACTTTTCCTAGTACTTTCTAGATGATCGGCTTCACAGCAATCATGTGGTAGACCAACAAGTCTTGTTTATCTGAACGAGTGAGGATGATGCTGCTACAGAAGTGGCACCTGGAGTTTTGGCAGTACCACACAGAGATTCAATATGTAAGTAATGGTTGAATTTAATTCACCGGCTAGAGAGGTAAGGTTTCCCAAGCGGATAATTCACAAAATAGATATTTTCCGTTTGGAGAGGAAAAAGCGCGTCGTATTCAAAGAGCAATCGCAATATTACATCATTTCAATCTTCCCCCAAAACCAAGGCCACTTGAAACCTATAGCAACATATCAACTAGCATCATAGCGGGGATATGCAATAAAGCCAATTGACAGGGTCGCCAACAGAACTGAAAGCAATAGGATGGCGTGAGCCCTACTTTTTGGGACCTAAGAGTCCTTTGGCTGTGGGAAACAGAGTGAATGTGGATGGCACCCTAAAATACAGCGCTTAGATCAACTCTGTTTATCCCGTAAATCATGAAATTACCTGGGCTGGTAAAGATCCTGACAGTTCTCAACGCTCGACTGAAGGATAACAGCAACATGCTTACATCACAATTATATCCTACGTTTTTAGCACTCATAAACAGCTTCTGAATGCGAATCAGTCGATAAAGAAAATTTTCTTTTATGAACTGTTTTTTCCAAATATTTTGTTAGATCGGTCAGATAAATTCAACGATGGTCTTCGTGTACGCAAACAATGCACGTGGAATAACTATGCTTTCTCCCCAGATGCGTATTCATCAATATGGTACAGCAAATCACGACATGTAAAATGAAGCGAACTGTGTCTCTGTTGAGGTTTTCGACTTTAGGTCGTTTTGAACAATACGTATTGCCTTTACTAGAATCACTGGTAATACGTTCACCATTTTATTTTCATCTCTGGTGAGGTCTAGATTGGAAACTTTCGTTGAATAGCCAGCACTTGTCTAAAGGCAGGCTCATATGTACCGGAAAAAAGGCTGAGAGCAGTCACACACATTATTCAAGATAACCATGTGGGGAAAAAACTAACAAGCTGTACCTTGCCTTCTCGCCATCCCTTAGATAGAGATCATGACGTCTCAAATTTCAGCAAATTAATGTGGGTCCATCCATCTTGCCAAAGAACCTCAAAGGACATGGTAGAAAAGTTCAAAAGCAAAGGATATCTGTGTCGCCCCTTGGTAGTGCTCCTCTCACCGAGTTATGAACTATAGGAACTGATGTCTGCAAACTCATCTGATTAGTTCAAGAAGGGAATAGACAAACACATGTTCATTAGAAAAGGATGGACGCTGGATCGAAACATTTGAGCCACCAACTAAAAATCTCATTCGGAATATGATCACTTTCACTCAATGATTGTATTTACTTTGAAGCATCCAAAATACTAGATAGATTTGTTAGAGGTAAAAAGTCCATGTTTCTGCAGCTAGAAAGGAGTTATAACGAATTCACCATTTCAAGAGGAAGTGGATATGTTTTAATCTTTTAATTTTCAAATTTACAATAACTAGGAGTCGCATGAAGACAACCGAAAGTAACTCACAGATTCTTCTTTATGGATTATTTATAATGAAGTAGACTTACTCAGACAGTGAGCGTTGACATCTACCGCTAAAAGTTATTGATCATGGGGAACCATTTATCTTTACATATGTTCTCAAATCATAGCATGACTGTAAACTAGTTTACATGTCTTGATAAACAGTATTGTCCCTTTCTATTATATCTGAAGACATTAGAAAACTGTTGATTTTTTAGCACACATGAATTCTTATTTTGAAGATAGTTTGTTTTGCATTTTCACATTACTATTAAGGAGGGTAATTTTACACTGAACCAGCAAACGCTCCGTTTCAAGGTCGCACCCTATTCGTTCTTCACAGCTTTGCCGCGCCAATCCGCTGGAAATAAAGATGGACTGGGGTTCATATTATGAAAGGCTCGAGGGATGGGTTAACCAACAGTATGATGGTATAGCCAGTGCACAAAGGCGTCTTGAGAAATCTCTGCAGGAGCAACAAAAATACCTTAGTGCAAATGCACTCGCTCTTAAAAAGTACCAACAGGAGATGGGGTTATTTCAGTCTTTGTATTCTCGCAGTACCACTACTGATGGCACCACCTCGCAAACAGATGGACGACAAGGAGCACAGTGTAAGTGAAATGCAAATGGTTTATGTTTTTAGCTCGGCGTTACATAATACCCCACCCATGTCGTCGAATTGCAGCTGAATGCATAGATGTTACAATAATGATGATACTGAAGCTGACTGTATTGTATTTCTTCAGGAATGACTCAAGTGTGGTGTAAGACATTATATAAATAACTTATAGTAGATAAATGCAGTGAGCTCGCTAAAAGTATTGGTTCAGACATCCTGTCTGGTGTCCCAGAATATCGAACGCTACGGCACGCACATGGCTGGGCGAAGTCGGAATTCAATGGCAAAGATTTCCAAGTTTCAAGCATTTGGAGGTTGTTCTTCTTCGCACATATGGGTGCAAGGGAAGATTTTCTCGATTTCGAAATGTTAATCCTAGTTGATCAGATTGGCCGATTTCTTAGCGCCCTTCTAGAGGTAATAAACATTTTTGTGGAGTTAGTTTCATTTACTATATATAATACTTTGATAAAGCTATTAGCATTAAATAGCGAAACGTCAGTAAAAACAATATCTTTTTGTTTTTCATTCATTGGTAAATACAAAAACCTTTATTATAATGGATTAGTTTCATTTACTTATAAATAGTTGAGTTTTCTTTAGCTAGTTTAGTAAGCTGATTGATTATTAATGATAAAACACAACTTTTGCTACTCGTGGGTTTTAGGGTTTTATATATGCGTGCAATATCAAGTTCGTCAAAACATACGTAATTCTGGGTTGAAATCACAAAAAAGATTCTTAAAGGAGCATTAACCAGTAGTTTTTCATGGTAGAAATCAGTTGTTTTTTTATAGAACACTAATTTTATGCATGATTCACTAGTTTTTGGTTACTTATATATAACGTACTTTTTGTCAGCTTTAGAAATAAAAGTGAGACACATGCAATCGACTTCCACTGTCACGTATAGTAAAAGTGAAAGTTAGTTCTAATTGTGTTTTAGTGTGAGTAAATACCGACAATTAATATACAACTTGATATTCCGTATTGTTTCCGTCTACTTGCTTTTTCAACAGTAGTCGTTGAAGGTGCTTGAAAGCCCAATCATTTCCTGCAAGGTGCATGTATTGCTCTTTGGTTTGCGGAAAAGCCATACTGATTGACCTGTTCATCGCCAGTTAAAGAAGGGGAACATCTTAGCGTGAGGATTCATAGCCTCAATAGTTGACTTGACACCCTCGCCAAATGGTCTGTATATAAGCTAATGTTCACCCGCCCTGCTTCTGTTACATGTGACCATTGCCAAGACGTCTGTTGCTAAGGGCTTTTGACGTCGTGTCTCAGCTGTGGAGTGAGGCATTCTCCGTAAAGATTTGCCATGTGCAAGCTTGAGTCGCGTATTGTGTGAGGGCTAGTGCTTCTTCCCAGTCTCCATTCAATGTAGGTTGGATGTTAACACAACTGATGAACGATCGTACAAAAGTCAGATGCTTAAGTTAACCAACGCTGTCTTCATAACCATTTTAAGTACTAAAGTTTACAGAGCTACTTTGAATTTATCCACATCCGTAGCATACCAGTAATCTTGGAACTTTTTGGTATACTAAACATGCAACAGTTAGAGCTGGGTAGGAAACTTAACTGTAATTTTAAGCACTAGACCCAGGTCTTCACACTCTGACGGGTAGGCTATTAATTTTACTCCCTAACGTCATAGTTTCAGAAATAAATTTTGTGATTTTCGAATTGTTCTACTCTATTCATCTGGTATATTTCAGTGTATACATCATATCGATGTTAAATGTAGTTATTCACATGGTGTGTTAATTATATAGTCGGTTCATCAACATTACAGCACTAAAAGGTGGTCGTCATTAAAGCAGTCACTTGTTGATTTGTCGCACCATGTATCTGTAATCCTATCTATACCAAAAACTATATTTTTCATGATATCCAAACTGCTGTGTTGGTTTTTGCTGATAATCTCTATAATTTTTACAAAAACGGGTTATTGTGGCTTAGTTTTGCCAAGTTTGAAAATACTGATGCGGACATCAGCTTGTATGCAAGAACGCAAACATAATCCCTGCAACTACTTTTTGCGTTGTAATGAAGTTCGCCTCTTGTGATAAATCACTTCAGGCGTCGGGAAATTATTCCAATTTTGCCTGGTGCTTTGGATTTAGAATTGTTCTTTTTTGTGGATTAGCGGATCTGTAAGCTAAAGCATGTTTCCTAGCTCAGTCGGGTCCTCCAGGTGTGGTTGTAATACAAAATACAGTGTAAAGTTAAGTAATCAGAAGCGTTTCTTTCAAAAATTTCACACTGAACTTTATCTATCAGCACTTCCTTCTTACTAAGTGCGGTTATTGATAATAAAGTTTTAAATTAGGTCATGAGATGTGGCATGTTGTTAATTTGTCCAAATACATTGGTATGACTGTGTGCAAAATATGGGTCATTCATAAGTGTGTGCGTATAAAAAGGCTATCTACATTCCAGATACAATGAGCCATAAAGTTTAGAGTAAGCATATCAAAACCTGTCATTAAATATTATAAGAAAAAGCTATTTCGTGTGTCTGTTTTTCACAAATTTGGAGAATCTCTGGTTATTTGGAGTGTATTTAGCAGTTTTTGGTGGTGGTGAAATTTTCACATGTAGATGGTTTAATTTTCCGTTTATTAGCTACCCATAAAATTTCACTTTTGAAACTTGAAACGTTGGAAATGTAACAAGTCAATTTTTATTCCATTATGTCCAGGCAATGTTAATCAGACGATCAATTTTTGGATCTGATCCTGGGGGTGCGACTTTGGGAAAATGGTTAATGAACCTTAAAGTCGTTTCGTGTGAGGAAATTATAGCTTTTCCAGATGTTGTAGAAGTAATCCCAGGAGCGGATTTGGGAATTATTCGGTAAGTTAAATTCAGTGCTAATTTTCTCATTGCTTCTATGTGTTCATCTCAACATAAAGCAATTGGTTGTTATTAGTTCCTTCTTGTATTACTTATAACCTATCGGCTGAAGCTGTATACATTTATTGAGTTGTATTATTTTTGGCCGAGTGGGTTGTTTGTTACAGAATATTGCGTAAGTATGTGAGTGGGAACTTTCCTTTTGTTGCATAATTTCTAGGTGTTTTGTAAAGTTGAGAAATAAAAGCTACATTGTGTTCTTAAATAATAGAAAGTTGGCACTCTTTTCGCATTTTGTAACGTCCAAAAACCAAAAAGAAACAGCATATATATGGTGTCTAAGTTTCAAATAATATCTTCAACCTCAGAAACATTTTTACAGGAACAAGTGATCAAAGTAAGTAGAAATATTCGTAGAGGAGGCAGTGAATCACTAAAAAAGTGCATGGTATTTCACCATGGCGTGATGTTTATTCCTTGTTGATTAAGTGAATCTGTCGAAATTTTAGGTATTGGTCCAATGCAGCTGACTCGGCACAACTTTGGTATGTATTAGTCTATAAGCCACACTTTTGAAGTTTTTCAGTACTACCCGTTTGTCTTGGCCTAATTGGTAATATGGCTAGAAATCGTTCTCAGTGGCGTAGATGTATTCACTCTTTGTGATTTTCCATATCCAATAGAACTCTGCTGTCCTTCTATAGATCTGTTCTTCCCCCCCCAGCGCTTCTGTTTATTATCTGTTTTTTGAACCTCCCTTTACTCTCTTCTCTTGCTTTGTGTGCTACATGGAGTGTGGCAATTCAAACTGCTGTACATCTGTGCAAAGTTCTACGTTGAAACCAGTCAGTCAGCCTAGGCCTAAATAGATGGAGTGGGACTGGAATATTTAACTCATTGGCTAAATAGCATGCGTCTTAATAGGGAAGCGTACTCTTTATATATTCTAGACTGTAATACGCCGCAGCTGGTTGTCTTAATTTATGATTGATTGTATAGCATTGCTATCAAAAATAGATGATATATGGGTTTCGTTAATATGAATACTACATCATCACGTTGTCAACAAAGTGTGAAGGCTTGACACGGAGTTTTAGTTTAGAGAACACACTGACATGATACGGATATCAAATATGATCGGTTCAGGTATTATATACTCCCAGTCACTGCTCATTCCCGGGATGGGTTATTTAGAGTTAATTTAGAAAAAGGTTAAGAGTATGCGGATCAAGAATTAATATATCAATTAATATATCAACTCATTAAACCTCTGATTGGTGTAAGGAAGTGTAGGTTAGTGAAATCAGTGGTTAGAGCTGAACGGCTATATTGATATAAAGTTATCCTCTTAAGTTTTAATATCAACATTTGATCCCTTTCTTTTATTCCAAGCCCTACGTTGACAGTTCAGTTCTCTTTTTTTTATAATTATTTTCTACTACTTACGATCTTACGGTTTTCATTCGACATGTTATTTAACTTTATGTTCACTTTTGGTGTATGACAAATTAAGTTGCTTCACACTAATGATATTGCCTATGACAGTAATATCTTACTGTTCAGGTTTTATTGACTCATTGAAAAGAGGACTAGACAAGTAGCGATACCTTCTAGTAATCAGTTGGTGAAAAAAAAGCAACAGTGTTGATTGCTACGTTATTGTAGTATTTAAAGGATGACTGAAGTGATATCCTTGAGATGAGTTTATTTCGGCCAATGTTTCATCAGTTCAGTGTAGCTATATCCTCCTATAGGCTTGTCCGTCTTTACTCTTAAACTCAGAATTAACATCCACCGTTTAAATTACATGAGCACTGTAGAGACTTTTATTGTAAACTAGGCGAAATACAAAGAAAAATCCATGTTATGTATTCCACTAATAGTCGTTGCAGGAATCTGTTAGTAGAATACATCAATTAATGTATTCATTTCACAATCGTAACGTTGTAATACTTCTTCAGTTTTGTATAAGCTCTGATGATTTTGAGGCAAAAACCAATCGAAATCTGTTTTTTTTCTTCAATTTTTATTTTGACAGAGCACTAGTACGTTCGTTGCTGAAGAGTACAAACTTCCTTACTTTCTTTTCATTTGTGTGTATGATGGTGTTTCAATATCACCGGTGTACTTACGATATAATTGCTGGAACTTTAGTAGTACAACCTATTCCTCCCACTAATGAACCAAATAATGAAGGTGAACAACAACAACAACAGCAGCAACAACACCAGTAGCGAAGTTACTGGAATTAATTACTCAAACTGAGTATCTCCAAAGTGAGTTTTTTTAGTTTTATGAATATCGCTTTTTTTTTGTGTGTGTGTAAGTTGGGAGTTTTTCTCAGATAACATGTGCAACTTTGTTTACTATTATTATGCAGTGGTTAGCATAAACCGTGTGAACTGTTAGAACTCAGTTACCCGAAACAGATCCTTCCTGTACCAGGCTAAGAGGACAGTTGTTTTTAATAGTAATAACAACATCTTTATTCTGCACAATTAGTTTACACAATATGCATAATTTTCAGCATAGTTTAATGCGTAATATTTTCACTTCATCCAGGAGTTTAAGGTAAGACAGTCATCGCCAGTACATCGTGTGACGTAGTGATGTTAGATCTGCGAATTAAAATAATCCTCTATAGTATTCTTCTTTGGTCCCCCAGGATTGAGCAACAGTAGAGGTTACAAACCAATTAAAAAGGTGTGTGAGTACAATTAGCGAAACACGGATGTAAGTGAATGATTATAACAACGAAAACTAAAGAAAATAAGGTGCATAATCTCGGATTGGACTTCAGGTAGCCCAGTGATTCAAGCAGGTCGACAGTTGCCCAGGCTGAGGTAGTAGGTGGATTGGGACTTGACCTTGGAAACTGCTAACTGAAATTCGACTGCTTACACTACTGAGCCACATCTCTAACAGTAGTAGAACAGTACATCATTGGAAGCCTTATTTAGTAATTGATGGGTAAAATATATATATGTAATGCATAAGTTAAACAGTTCTATTGCTGCCACATGAATAAAACTCGCCTCAGACTCCATGGATCTGATTTTCTTTTTACATCATCGTCACCGCATAGTTATTGTCTATTGATTTGTTTCATTAACAGACTTTCTGAGAAAAGCTGGTCGTATAGAGTAAATGAGGCACATTAAATCGTACTCATAGGTGTTCGGAGTTGGTAGTGAGTAGAATTGACTTACATGTCAGGACATTAATACACTGTGCACATTTTTTCTAAGTATGATCGGGTTCTCGACTAAATAAACCAAACGTTTCAGTTACGCGTAAAAATACAGAGCACAGGATTTATCCAAACTACAGCTCTCATATTGTTAGATATCTAAGGTTGAATACCGTGTGTCAATAAGGAAACAACAGACCTGTGCCATAAAATCGATCCACCGTCAGTAATAAACAAGCGCGAGTCAGAAGTGAAGTGTGATTCGAAATCTACTGGTTGAATTTAAATATCTGAGCTAGACAGATAAAAAATCCCTAATAACTAATGGATGACCCAAGATCACATTTCAGAGCAGTACGAAAATAAGTCAAAGAATCAAAACGGTTCAAAAATCAGCCATGAAAAGCACACAAGTATCTTTTGGGATGTCTAAGATTCGTAAGCGAGTCAGTCTGTGTTCATCCATTGTTTAAAGCCTTGTCAATCAAGGTGTTACATTGTGTGTTTCTATTGCTTCAGGATTCACGATGTTCACGAAGCTGAAACCAATTATTATTGGTTTCCTGTGTGTTAACGTAATGTTTTTACATGACCTTGAACAGCGTGAAAGAGTTCCATCTTTTAATGGATTTTCTGGAAGTCGACTCCAGAATTGATACGAAGATCTGAAAAGTTAAGACCCCCTTTTATGTTAATAAAAGTTCGAAATCAGTTGTAAAATTTATGAAGTACTGGTGATTGACTACTCTTTTTCTGTTCTTTTTTTCCAAAATATAACTGTTCGTATAGCTTGTAGTGTATCAGAGAAAATACAAGTTAGTAATTGACAATAGTAATCAAATAATGGGTAAAAAGGCGATAGTTTCTCTTTAATTTGGAGCAAGAACAAAAAGTAAAGAAATTCTCACCAGTGTCTTGTGCATATTCTGTCGTGTGTCAGCCTTTTGCAGCATCACTGTCATGTTGTCTTGTTAAAACAAAATCTGAGTGGAAGATAGTTTTGAAACAGTAGCACTTTTTCGCTTGGTATCTATTGGTTACTTGTGAATAGTCATATCCACACAACTTGTATATGCATTCGGTTTTTTAACCGTCATACCTTACTGAAATCCATACAATTCTTACTTTTCAAGTATATTATTGTAAACTGTATAACCCCGGAGTCCAACACAGTAACACAAATGTGTAAACACCATATCTTCACCGAAATCTTGGACACAATGTTTATTATACAGTTTTATGACGTTTTATTGATCATTTTATTTTCCGTCTAATTCACAATTGTCAATTTTCTCCATTAAACGTCCTTTACGTTTCCTGTGGTTTTTCTGTTACAAGAATTGCCTGTTAAAATGTTTTAGCCATTCTGTGTAACTTGAGTATATCTGATAACCTTGTGAATATCGATGTCTCTTTCAATGCCTTTCATAAACTTTCCAAAGTGAAAAAAGGTCATATAGAGCAAAAAATATGTTGCACACTCTTGGATTTAATCCCTTGGGCATTGATACAACACTGTGTTATAAGACATTTCTTTAGTCTCTAAAGCATGGTGTTTTGCATTACAGTTGTATAATTATTGGACTACTGGTAAGCGTTGGGAAGATCACAATTCACAATTTCGTACATTTTCAGATATACTTTTGTCTGTTAAGAAGAATACAGGCTATAATAACTGAAAGTTATACTGAATCATATACAAATTAAAATCAATGATAGTTGAAGATATTTTCAAGTGGAACGTGTTTCAAGTTTGATTGCGGATTGGCATCAGTTAAAGAACCATTGAAGAGAAACGAGTACTGGACAACTGTTTCGCCGTAGTCATCAGCACGTTAGAAATCATGGCTCACTGGATTCTGTCGCAGTGGCTGAATGGTCAACAAGCTCACGTCGTAACCGGAGTGTCCTAAGTTCCATCCCTGGTGTGGTAATAGCCACATATTGCTGAAGAGACATTGGGACGAAATGGCTGTCCAGTACTCCCTGATTTTCAGTGGTTCTCTAATTGATGTCAATCCGGGATCAACATTGAAGACAGTCAAATTCCTACAAACTAACGCTAGAATATATTTCTCAATAGCCAGTTGTCTTCTTAACCCATTCACACTGTTTAACTTTTTGGAAGTTTTTCTTTTTCACTCTGAATATTGTTATTATGACAGCACTTTTTACTCTTCTTTTTTTATTAATGCTCTGTTTTAGACTGCCCTATACACAACACACTTCTCTCACTGATTTTTCGGATAATGGAAATCGGACAAAGTCATTCAAATTGTATAAAATACCATACTTTACTGTAAAAAATGTCCTTTTCTTCATAAATATTCCATGCATCATGTGAAATTTCCATCCGTTTATATTTCTTTCAAAAACAGAGTTGTTATTCGTTTATTTTCTCTCTTTTTTCTTTTCGCATCATTCATATTCTTGGTATTGTGCCATTCAAAGTTTGTGCAAAAATTGAAATAGTATTTATTTGTTTTGTTTTTAATCCTTCAAAAAAAGCATATTGACAACAAATTTTTATTTGTTTGACGGTTTTTTTCGTTTAATGTAGCTGTGAGCCGTCTACTTCGTTATTTCATTGCAATAATCCTATATATACATATAAGCATTTCGATAACTATTGAATTAATTCCTTTAATATGGTGCTAATGAACACAAAAATACAAATTACTCACTCTGAATAATTGTTCTTTTATGTGAACATATTTCGATTATTTTTTCAGTTTTTATTTTATAGTTATTTGTGAAGGAGCATTAGTCTAATAATGAGGTTTTATGTTCAGTATAAGTGGGATGCAATTTCACTTACTAGCACTCACAGTTTGGAAACATTTATTTCCGGAATAAAGCAAGGATTTAATGAGTTCGTCACCCGTCGTTCTCTTTTCATAGTCTCCGCCTACGCCCCAACATACTGCAGTTCGGATGAACTAAAGGATGATTTCTACCTAAAATTGTCTAATTTGCTGCAAAAAGCAAAACGTTCAGATATAGTTGTTTCAGCAGGCGACTTCAATGTCCAAGTAGGGAAGTTGTGCCAGACTGAGAAGTATGTAGGTGGTACGTTTGGAGTTCCCTGCCGGCGAACAGACAACGGTGATCGTCTTCTACAGTTCTGTTCAGATAATCATCTGTTCCTTGTCAGCACTGACTTTAGTCAGAAGGAGAGACACCGCGTAACCTGGCGACCTCCATCACCAAATCAACGCTGGACTCAGATAGACCACACAGCGATAGGTTATCGTTGGTGAGGGTCAGTAGAAGACTGCGGCTCCTTTTGGAACACATATGTAGACTCCGATCACGCTCTGGTTCGCGCACGTCTATGCTTACAACTAAAGGGACATAAGAAATGGCTGGCAGCGAAAAAAGTTCCGTCTCCAACTAGATCAAGACCCTGAGTCTCTATTTAGGGAAAAAATAGCGAAACGTGTATCTGAGGTCGACAGCAGGACTTCCCCTGAGGTAGCCTGCCACAACATACAGTTAGCAGTAGACACAGCTGTAAAAGCTGTTAATAACCTAAGACCAAAAGTTAGTAAGAGCTATTGGATCTCCACAACCTCATCCGAACTGATTGACGCAAGAAGACTGATTCCAGAGAGCTCCGATTATGATGAGGAGCGAGAGCTACTCAAACGCAAACTAACAAGAAGTCTTCGCAACGACCGTGAACAGTGGTGGGTGACAAAAGCGAAAGAGGTAGAAAAGGCATCGGCGATTGGTAACACCAGACAACTATTTAGGCTTATCAGGGAAACAGGTGGTAAAAGGCAAATGATAAATGAAACAATCTCTGAGAAAAATGGCACCATAATTAGTTTCCAGGATAGACGACTGGAACGCTGGAAACAACACTTTGAGGAGCCCTTCAATTGGCCTACAGCCACACTCAACTTACCGAACATCCAACATCTCCCTGAATGGGATATAGACACAGGTCCTCCATCCCTAACTGAGGTTACTAAAGCTGTCACTAGTCTGAATCGAGGCAAAGCAGCAGGACCCGATGGAATGACTCTAGAGGTACTTAAGTACGGTGGAGACAGTTTACTGTCTGCGTTAACTGAGGTACTAGGCAGCGTCTGGAAATCAAAGGAAGTCCCATCGGGTTGGTGTAAGTCATCGATTATCCCGATCTACAAGAAGGGAGACAAGTCTTCCTGTGATAATTACAGAGGGATTAGTTTGACTTATATGGTATCTAAGGTTCTAGGTTCAATAATAATGCGTAGATTAATCGGTGCACGGGAGGAACAAACACGAAAAAACCAGGCAGGTTTTAGGCCAAGAAGAGGGTGTATTGATCATATCTTCACCCTTCGACAGATTCTAGAACATAGGCATTCCTACCGGCGTCCAACAATCATTATATTTCTTTACCTAAAGGCGGCATTCGATTCTGTCGACCGAGAGGTTCTCCGGCGATGTTTAACCGTAAAGGGAACGCTGAGAAAATACATTGCACTGATTAAGGCACTCTACTCGTACTCATCCAGCCAGGTGAGGGCTTATGGCGAGTTGTCATCTGAAGTGGTGACGACTAGTGGCGTCCGTCAAGGATGCCCATTATCCCCATTCCTATTTAACTTCATCATAGACGTACTAATGGACTTAACCCTAACACTTCAGCGACTCAGGGATTGACTTGCTACCAGGGAAGAATCTCGTTGACTTAGAATATGCGAACGATATAGTCCTTCTAGGCGAGGACGCTGACAAAATGCAGAGTCTTCTGAACACCTTGAGCAACAATCTTCGTATGTTTGGCATGCGATTTACCCCTGTAAAATGTAAGATGATGCTGCAGGATTGGACTACGCCGACCCCTAGATTAGAAATAGGAAATGAAATGGTAGAGCACGTTGACCGCTTCACTTACTTGGGAAGTACCATCAGCCCCAACGGGTTGATGTCCGACGAAATCTCAGCACGAATACAGAGGGCTAGTTTGGCATATGCCAGTTTACGCCGTCTCTGGCTTAGTAGACGTGATATCCGACTATCGACAAAAGGGTGCGTGTACCGCTCAACAGTCCGCTCCGTCCTCCTTTATGGCTGTGAGACCTGGCCACTGAGAGTGGAAGACATGAAAAGATTAGCTGTCTTCGATCATAGGTGCCTGCGCTCTATCTCCTGTGTGAAGTGGTACAATGAGGTGAGCAATATTGAGGTTAGGCGTCGAGTGCTAGGTAAGGCGGGGAAATCAATCGACGAGACTGTGAAATTACTTCGACTGAGATGGTTAGGACATGTGATACGTATGCCCAGCCATCGATCGTCTTCCTCGATGGGCAATGGTGGCTGACATAGGGTCAGTCTGGAAAAGAGCTAGCGGTGGTCAAACCAAAACATGGCACTAGTCAATGAAATTCACAACGGTTAGTTTAAGCCAGCCACGTAGGAAGGTGTAGACTTCCTGGTTGGGGTCCTCGGGGCGGTGAAAACCAATGGTTGGAAACAAATAGTGACATGGCTCACAATCGTTTTCAATGGCGCAGATGCATCCACTCCTAGTGACTTATAATATCCAATAAAACTATATTGCTTTTCGTTATTACTATTCCTTTTGTCTTATATCCCTATTTATTGTTTCTATTTTTCATTTCTTCTACTTTCTCTTGCTTTGTTTGGTACAATGAGGGATTGTGGCGACTTGAACTGCTGCACATTGGCGCAAAGTTGTTTGTCGAAAACATACAGACAGTTTGTCTTCTAAGGCGCTGAACTTTTAGATCTATTGATACTGACTGAGATTATGGAAATAGTTCTTGATTGCAGACGAAGTGATATAACGAGGTGCTGAAAGTACTGATCAGTTAAGTAATATCTCAGATGGAGAAAAAGGGTTAATGACTAATGGATGTGTTTAATGAAATCTATATCTGGATCCTGTTTCAGTTCAGTCACTACTCGAGTTTTTCCATTCCTAGGCATCATTACTAGTGGAACTGGAAACCACTGATCTGAGCACTTAAATTCCAGTCACTAGAACACGGGTTCCAATCCCTCTCAATCTGTTGAGGTTCGGGTAAACAGGTATTATCGGTAGCCTACATTGGTCATACGCATGTGAATGCGAGTGGCTGTTGAGTAACACTGTGTGACTGTCATCCATCTAGTACATAACGATGAACAATAACTAAGCTCTTAATAGCATAATTTAATATTTATCTATCAGTGTAAGTCATCAAGTGGTATAAAACTTCTATCTGAAATTCGAATTAAATAAATAAATAAAAATTGGTTTAGTCTATCACTGAATCAAATAATTACCCGAAAGTCTCTATGAAAAGGTACTTGAGCAATGAAGGTATGAAAACCTCCTTCCAAGAATTTGATCACTGCTGTGTGGGGGTTCCTTATTGCAAAGAAACGTCACACAATCTTCAACAATCATGACATAAGACCTTAGGCTCGTCAGTAGTAAAGATTAAGGCTATAATAGAAGAAGGCAATCAACAGAATGGTGCATACGAAATTAGAATGTGGGGATTGTGATGCTGTGTATATGTAGGAAAAACTTCTAGGCAGATAAATGTAAGAGTAAAGGGACATAAACAATGCCTAAAAGTAGTTCCAAAAGCCAGGGGATTTGAAGTTCCTGAAACACATTACACTACACTCGATAGAAATGAGACACAAGGTCAACTTTAGTAGAACCTAGGTCCCTACAGGACGATTTTAATTCTTCCACATAAAGAAAGATTGCAAGACAGAGGCCCAAGTGGCTGGAGCCCAAAAGTACAACTAGATGTGATTGTGTGATATTGCCTGATTACATACCTAGTCTTGATTAATAAGTAAAATTCATACGTATGACCAAATGTTTATGCCTAGTTTATTATCCTGATTATATGTCTTTTCTAAAGCAACATATATTTATGATTTGATGATATTAGATAGTTGGAGGCAATCGGCACGAAGCCTTGCTCCACCCAGGTTTCGTGCTAGTTGGCACTCATCAGCAAGGCGTATCTGCAACCTTGAAGGAACTCATGTCCCTCCTACGCGGGTTCGAATTTCAGAAGGGACATGAGTTCCTTCAAGGTTGCAGATACGCCTTGCTGATGAGTGCCAACTAGCACGAAACCTGGGTGGAGCAAGGCTTCGTGCCGATTGCCTCCAACTATCTAATAACTCATTAATTGCAATATAAGCGTATATCTAACGGTCATATTTTAATCTGTACTTAACTGATTGTCTAAAAACTCGTAACGTACATAGTAAACAGGATGTTAAGTATATGTTTCATGTGACAGTTGTTCTGCTTAACTCATTAATCTTATATAAACAAATTAGATAACGACATTGAACAGTTCAAGTACTCCGAATTGTATGTTCGGATACCCATGTCTTTACACATAGCTAAGTATGATAGTCTCCTCTTGGGAAAATATCAGTACTAATTGGCTTAAGTCATTGTCAAAGCTGCCCGACCGATAGCTGCTACCTTGACGTGGTGGTCGGGCTTGAACACTGCAATGACCCAACAAGCTATACTGGCTGGAACTTATGTTCCTGCAGGTCCTACCATGCCAGAAAGGTTGTTTGGATAGCAGTTAGACTAAAAGCAGTTACCCAATCCAATCCTATGATTTCAAATAAATCACAAAATATCATGCCGGATCGGTCGGGGCCCGGATTAACAACGACCGCGCTTTCTGCTGC